ATGACTCACTTCGTACCATCATCCCTGATCCTCCTTTCGTGGTTCCGAACCATATGGAGTTAGTAATCTCGTGGATTATGAATTTGGTGTAACCTTCACGGGTCAATCGTTGTTGCCTATCGTTGTCCCTTATCGCGGTTGCCTTTTATGATCCGTGAACGGTTTACAAGTTCCTTAAAAACTTGTTGGCGGCTCCCTACTTTCCTTGTCCCTAATCGTATTATGTCAATTCCCATTTCCTATGAGTGCCAAGCATATTCACAACATGCTTTAACGTAGGCGCACTTCGAACGACGCCTACAGCACCTGATTAGGTCATCAAGCCCTAATCATTGGTGGGCTGCACCACATTGCGGCTTTCTCGGGATTTGGGCCATGAAGGCTGCCTTTTTTCCATTTCCTTGGGAGGACACGTGTCAAACAGGGATTGGTCCTATATGGACTAACCCTAAGGTGACATGTGTCACTCTCTGACTGGACCACGTGTCAGGGTAAAATTACCCCAAACACTATATTAATCATTCCGCCAAGCCTATTCAACTAAATAATAATAATCCTCTGTGCCAAAACCTACACCCGTAGTCCTCGACCCCACGCCAATAACCTAACCCTGCACTATTGTTATTTACGTTGATGCTCTTGTCCTATCTTCTCTCAAGAAGCAGCCCACACTCATGGGATGTAGCGGCAATAATGCAGCAGTCGCTCTAGGCCGCTCTTCGCCTTGTGTGCTAGACGATGTTATGTTGTGTCCAATTGCTTCCATAAAGCAGTAGAAATCTCAAAAGGTCGAGGGTTGGTTGGGTCTATGTGGTTGAGAACGTTGTAAGCATACATATGGGTCTCGAATAATTCTACCTAATTGGAATATTGCACACTCTGGTAGTCAAGGGTTAGTAGAATCACATTCTTGATTTAGTAACGGAGAGAGCCGAAAGAAACTCGATGGCTAGTGGAGGAGGTGGCTAATTGCATTCTTAGTCATAGTGGTAGAGCGAAAGTGTGTTTAGTGTAGAAAAAGCGAGAAAAAAAAAACCTAGCTAGAATAAAAAAAAAACTTAAAACTGTGATATCATGTTAGATTTTTGAAAATTTCGAATTGAAGTTGACATCAATGATCTTAAACTATGTATGAGGTATAAGATACGAGTCAAAACTTTGTTAAGAAATCTCGAAAGATAATTATAAATTGTACATGAAAATATCTCTCAAAATTATGAGGAAGATTGTCTTTCTATAATCTCTATCACAACCAACTATATGTTGGTGTCTCGAATTGGTCTTGCTCAAGCCTTTATCATAGTAAGTGACCAACTATACAATTTTGGTGAGTGGTTGGAATCTAGTATAAGATTAGCTAGAATTGGTTATGGCTTAAGAGCACCAACAAATTCAAGTCAAATTATAATATTTAGGTCTTCCACTAGACAATCGTTCTACAATATCAAGCCAATATTATGAAACACTATTTTAAGTTAATTAAAAAAAATAATAATAAAATAAAAAAATCTTTGTTATAAATTATCCTAATAGTTCGTAGGAATATATGATGTTTCCTACCAAACCTACTATGACATACTACAAAATAATAAAATTTACTAACAACAACCTTATCTTTTTTTCTTTTTTATTTCTTCTTATCTTGATTATTAAAGGATATACTTAAATCTTTATATTTGTAGGGAGTAATACCATTATATTAAAACTAAAATAGACCCGGTCTACAATAACTTATTGTAGACCCAACCTTCTAGTATACCATACGAATGTGATTATATCATACGAAATGTGATTATATTATTACAAAAGTGATTATATCATCTTGAAACTATTATGTAAATGTATCACTCAAAAAGTGAATTTATCATTATAAAAAGTATCAAATAGTAAATTACATCATTCAAAAGATGATTTTTAAATTTTATCATCCTAAAGATAATTATATAATCTCATTAAATGGTTTAATATGAGATCAAAATATGACTCACAAATATATAATAATATCATCTTAAAAAGTGATTATATCATTCAGAATGTGATTATATTATTTGAAAGTGTCAAATTTTGGGTTTACAATAATTTATTGTAGACCGGGTCCATACAAGACCAATTGATACCATTATACCAATATATAACTTAATATTCAAATTGCTACAAAATGCGCACAAATTACCCTTAGAAAAACAATATATAATAGCTCCGTTTTTTTAGTTGACACGTTTTGACTTTAGTACTATTCACATACCTTTCTTTGAACGTGTTTTGTGATTTATATGTAATGAAAAATATAATCATATGGGGTCTTGTTAGATTCGTCCCGATATATATTTTCAAGATATCAACTTTTTATAATTTTTGCTTTTCGATAATTAAAGATAGGTAAAATTGGTATAAGCCACCTTTTTTGTTCAACCTTTATTAAAAAAACCACATTTTATGTTTTTTTATTTACTAAACCACCTTTTAAGTACCTAAATTTTTATTGCACCACCCCTATTTCAAATCTAACAGATTGCATCTCAATCATCCACTTCCAAATCATTAAGCATAGCAAAACCTTCCCTTCCATCCCAACCATCACTTCAATTACCTCAATTTAGGGTTTGAAAATAAACAAATACTACAATTTAATTTTTGTAGCAAAAGTAGGTTTGGTTTTTTTAGAGCTTCAATCAATTTAGTCATGCATTTATATAGAGGGAAGGGTCAAATATTTTTGGGGTGAAAAAAATACATGATTTAGGAGCGAAAGACATAAGTTGTGGGCCCCTTTGACGTGTCAGTTAAATTTTTTTGTTATAATTTGAAATAGGGGTGGTGCAATCAAGAATTTAGGTATTTAAAAGGTGGTTTAGTAAATAAAAAAAATATAAAAGGTTGTTTTTTCAAAAAATTTGGACAAAAAAGGTGGTTTATACCAATTTTGCCTTAAAGATATTAACGATTGAAGTTGTACAGTGCATTGACAAACATAACTAAAGAAAGGTGTCAACTAAAAAGAAAGGGAGGAAATATCATACATCTCATCCTCCGTGAAAGTAGGATAGTACACTCGGGTGCACCATGTCCCGAAAGGTGGAAAGAACATATGGTTGTTTGATAAAAAACATACTTATGTTAGACAAAGAACATATCCATACATGTTTCATAAGATATTCTTTTATGCTTATGTTCTTTAATATGTGTTGATTAAACATGTTTTTTGGGTTTCAATAATATAAACACTACTACAAAATTGACCAAAGAGACCTCAAGTTAGAGACCATTTAATTAAATAGGTAGTCTCTTAGTTTCAAGAGACCAAATATCCTAAATATGTGGTCTCTTTGGTATTTCGAGAGACCACTTATTTGAAATAATAGGTCTCTTGTAGTTTTTCAAAATTTTAATTTAAAACGGCAGAGACCATTTTTCTACATAAGTGGTCTCTTTTTTTAAAATACGTATATAATAAATTTTTTTTTGTAAAAAAAAACAAAGGAGAGACCAGTGGAAAGTCTAATATGGTCTCTACTCTCTACATTATCATCAGTCAAGATGGTCAACACATTCCCAATTCAATTAATTTTCTTTTTTTTTTTTGGGTTGGAACCCAATTAATTAATTTAATTTTCATTTTCCCCAAAACGAACCGCCAAAAACACAGTCTAGAGCACGCAGCAGCGCACCGACCTTCAATCCGCCATTATTTCCACCTTCGTCGATTCTTCCGCCATTATTTCCACCTCCGTTTTCCACCTTTTCCATTTTCATCTTCCTCCATTTTCATTTCCAAACCCATTATATGAAATTTATTACAATCTTTTGAAGTTTAGAACCCAATTTCAAACCCTTAAACACACGCACTGACTCTTGCAATTGCTCCACCACCTAGGGTCGCACGACTAGCCGGAAAACACTGCCTACAGTCGCCTACTGCGCTACTAGCACCACATAGGGTCGCACGGGTAGCAATTGATTGGTTGTTTTGGGCATTGAATTCACAATTTCAATACTACTGCCCTAGCTATTCGCACAACTTTGCTAGCCTCCACAAGACCACAATCGACTACTGACGCATTCTACCTCCGGCCAACCATTGCCAACAGGACCAGACGGAAAACCCTAACCAGCCCCATTAGGTTCACCGCAACTAAGCTAGGTATCATATTTATTTTGTTTGTTTTATGTAGATATTATTTTGAATATGAATCGTGTAATTGTGTTTATTGAGTGTTTGCTACAATGTTCTATTGTTATAGTAATCTTCTCATCTTGTTCATATATGAATCCTGTTTTCAGTTATACAGTAGTGAGTTATTGGATTTTGATTTTCCCGCGAAAGTTTGGATTTTTTAAAAGTTGAATAAAATATTTGCTATAATGTATGCCCATTTTTTTTAACACAAAAGGGAAAGTATCTTATATTATATCAAGATAGAGCTGATCATTGAAATCATCAGAGCAAAAGTGAACAGAAAAACTAGAATCTAACATTATAAAATTCTGAACTTGTACATTTTTTTTATAAATAGAATCTAACATTATAAAATTCTGTCAAATTATTATTTTAGTTCAAATAAAACCTTCTATTTGTGGCATTTGTGTTCTTATTTCGGGACAAACTAGCCTGTTCCCCCAACTTAAAGGAAGGTAAGACTTGTTACTTTATGAGTAGGGCTGAAATTTAGGCTTTGATTGCTAGGAGTATTTCTTTTCCATTAGTGAATAAAATATTTGCTATAATGTATGCTCATTTGTTTACAACTAATGCCACATTTAAAATTGTTTGATTGGTAGGAGTATTTTTTTTCCATTAGTGATTAGGATTTTATAGTTTGTTTCTGGCAAATAATGCTTAGGGTTCATGTGGATTTAATTAGTTGCCACCAATTGCATACCTTCCTCTGTTTTTAATTGTGATTTGGTCTTTGTGTTATGAATATTCTAAGAATGACTCATGAAAGTAACATGTGTTAATAGATTTTGAGGAGTTTGTGTTTTCTTCTTCGTGCTTAGAAATGGATCGAAGTTGGATAACAACAACAAAGCCAGGTGACCCTGAATATCAACAAGGTGTTAAGGAATTTATTAAATTTGCATTTGAAAATAGTGGAGGTCGCTCCAAGCTACGTTGTCCTTGTTTTATGTGTCATAATTTTTTGCATAAGAGACCGGATGAAATTCTCAATCATTTAAATAAATGGGCATTTGATAGAACATATACCCATTGGATTTGGCATGGGGAACGTAGAGACATGCATGCGGGTGATAGTGGTGAGACTAGGGATAATGTGCGTGTAGTTCATGATGTTGATGAGGGAGATCAGTTAGAGGACATGTTGCATGCGGTTGAGGATCAACTTGATGACAACCCTTCAATGCTTGAGAGCTTGTTAAGTGACTCTGAAAAGCCATTGTATGAAGGATGCACCAAGTACACGCGATTATCCGCTATTCTTAAGTTATATAACTTGAAGGCGGGTCATGGTTGGACTGACACTAGTTTTAATATGTTATTGGAGTTAGTGAAAGACATGCTTCCCAAAGATAATGTTCTTCCTGATAGTACATATGAGGCGAAAAAGTCACTAATCCCAATGGTTTTACCTTATGAGAAAATCCATGCATGCCCTAATGATTGTGTATTGTATCAAAATCAATACGAATCATTAGAGAGTTGTCCAATTTGTGAAGCTTCACGGTACAAGAAAAGGGAAGGAGCAGTACCAGCAAAGGTTTTATGGTATTTTCCTATAGTACCAAGGTTCAAACGATGGTTTTCAAAAGCAGAAGATGCAAAGAAGTTGACATGGCATTTCGATAGTCGAGTTGATGATGGAATGCTTAGACATCCAGCTGACTCTCCGCAGTGGAGATTTATTGATGGAAAATTCCCTGACTTTGCCAAGAAAAGCGTAATTTACGCCTTGCATTGTCTACGGATGGGTTCAATCCATTCGGTTCCTTGAGTAGCACATATAGCACATGGCCAGTTATGCTAGTGACCTACAACTTACCTCCTTCATTGTGCATGAAGAGAAGGTTTATGTTCTTGTCATTGTTAATTCAAGTTCCAAAGCAACCGGGCAATGACATCGATGTGTATTTGACTCCACTTATTGATGATTTGATTATGCTTTGGGAAGAAGGTGTTGAAGTGTTTGATGCTTATCGCAATGAGAATTTTAATTTGAAAGCAATGCTATTTTGCACTATCCAAGATTTTCCGGCGTATGGCAACCTTTCGGGGTACACTGTGAAGGGGAAAACAGTTTGGCCCATCGGTATGGAAGATTGCAAGGGAACGTGGTTAAATGCATCTAAAAAGCATGTCTATCCTATTCATCGTCAGTTTTTGCCGCCTAATCATCCATATCGCAGAAGAAAGAATGTGTTCAATGGGCAGCAAGAGTTTAAAGGGCGATCAAAAATCATCTTAGGTGAAGAGATATTCGATAAGGTGAAAAATATTGACATCACATTTGGCAAGAAACATAAATCGGCCCTTTCTACGCAGGGGTTCAAAAAGTGTTCGGTTCTTTGGCGGCTTCCTTATTGGAAACATCTTTTTGTGAGACATTCACTTGATGTTATGCATATTGAGAAGAATGTGTGTGATAGCTAGATCCACTTGGAGAAGAAAATAAAATCAACTCATTCGTTGAAAAGATCATCACTGAGTATGTATAATTGCAATAACTGTGTCGATAACTTCTGATTTTGTTCTTACTGTGTATTTGGAAACTATTACAATTTTCCTATCTTCATGTAATTATGTAGAGGAATCAAACAATTTAGCTCGTTCCATCGGAAGGACATCAAGAAAATAAAAAAGAATGCATATATTAGGTGGGAGCAACCACAAGTAAGTTATCATCACTTTTACAGCAGTTGATATTATGCAGTTTAATCCTAAAATCTAATATCTTGTTAATGATTAATTGTTTGCATTATCATATCGTCAACCAGCATACACCAAGTATTGTGGATACTTTGTTTGTCGATATATGCTAGACATTGTGCAGAAAAGAGTGCTATGGGTTTCTAAGCAGGTATATTATTATAAATATATGTCATTTAAATTGGTATAAACTATCCTCAGCTCTAACCAACTGTCTGCATGTCTGAACCTCTGTCTGAACTGTGAATGTAACTCTGAACTGTGAAACTGACTCTGACCTGTGAAACCAACTGTGAATGTAACTCTGAACTGTGAAACCAACTGTCTGAAATGTGAATGTAACTCTCTCTGTCTGTTGCTCTAACCAACTGGGACTTGTGAATGTAACTCTGCAGTCTGCATGTAGCTTAATCATATTAACCACCAAAAATAACCAGCTTATGCAATCTATAATAGCTATAAGGTTTTTATATTCTGATCTGTAGTTCTGATTGTAGTTCTAATTGTCAAGTCTACTTTTCATTTTTGAATCAGTCTTGAAATTAAGTTAGGAATGAAATTTGACATTGGAGTTCTGATCCTATTTATCAGCATCAGTCAGGTTGGCATATAATTAAGATTATGCTACTCCATGAAAATTAAGACTGTAATTTACAGCTTTGATAGCCTATTTATTAGTACCTTGCAATCTGATTCAAGCAGCAAGTCCTGATACCCGAGTCTCCTTGCAAGCTTAATGGCAAATAACAATGCTCTGCCTTCTGCCATTTCTGCAGGTCATTGAGCTCTCACTCGTCTGACAGCGGAGAAGAGAACCTCCCCTCTGTGATCCCTTGCCACCACACCGAGCCCCACCCAACCTTCATTAGCTAGGCAAGCATCCGCATTCACCTTAATTAAACCATTAGAGGGAGCAATCCACTTCGAGGCACTCTTCTTCCTTCGAGGCTGCATTGGTTTGTAAATCATACTAGTAAGCAAACTTATTTTGTTTTTTCAGTGTCCATAACCTGTAATCAGGTTGATACACTCAAAAAACTAATCTTTTCCATGCTGACCTTGTGCTTTGACCTTTTCTAAGCCTAGTGTATTAGTTCTAGTCTCAGCTTCATCACCCATTTCCTTCACCTTCCTACTTCACAAACTCTGATGTGCTAGATGTTTTAACATCTAAGTTGTAATATTTTTCCTTTTCTTGTTAAAAAAAAAAGTGAGCTAAGGTTGTGGATTGAGGATGTTCATCAATGTGCAGTGCTTTGTTATGTCTGTTTTTCGGCATTTGGATAAATATCTCTTTGCTTTCCTTCAAAAATAAATAAATAAATTATACTCATTTGATGGCATATGTTGTATGTTGCAGGCCTTTCCCTCGATTTGTACATATTCTTCGGAAGACATTGATGAAATGCGAGATTTGTGGATAAAATATGTTCTTGATCATGAGCCAGATGAAGAAGATTCGTGATGGATGAGCTTAATGAAGAATGAGATGAGCTTGAGTATGAAATTAGCTTACTGTTAATCATTATACTTGTACATCTAGCTCCAATTTTGAACTTTATTTTTTTTTTGGAGGAAAAGCTCTACTTTTGACTTTTGTTTTTGAATATTAAAATTAATGTAAATTTTGGGTTCAAATCTGTTGGACAGAATTTGTTTTTGTATTAAAGATTTTATATTTATGTATATATATATATTATATGGAAAATTTATGTGTTTGTATATGTATTGGCGCCAAAATTAATTGCAGCAGGAATATGAATTGCAAAATTGCAGGGAATCAATATAATTCAGATCATACGATCAATTGAATATAATTTTTATTATTAATTTTTTTAAAAAAAATAACCATGGAGAGACCACCTATTTTAAATAAGTGGTCTCATTATTCAAAAACCAAAGACCACTCATTTAAAATAGGTGGTCTCAGATTTTAAATCTAGAGACCACCTATTTAAAACATTTGGTCTCTTGTTCCTCTATATTATTTATTATTAAATTAAAAAGAGAGATCATCTATTTTAGCTAGATGGTCTCAGCTTTTAAACAAGAGACCACTTTTGATGAAGTGGTCTCTTTGGCCAAAGACACCTCTTAGCTAGAGACCACACCTAAAATGGTCTCTTTGGCCATTTTGAGATGATCTCTTTGGCCAATTTTGTAGTAGTGAAAGTATGTTCTTTAAATTTGGTTCGTATATTTTTTGAGGTAATGAGTAATGCACAATTTTTTATTATTTTTTTATTATCATATAACATTTTTTTTTTATTATCGTATGTTCTCTGAGTTTGATCAGTTTGTTCTTCGGGTATGAATTATATGTTCTTTACATTATAACTTATGTTTTTTTAACCTATGTTATTTTGAATTTTGAAATTTAATTTGAAAATGAAATCTTGATTTTTTTAGTTGAAAATATTTTAGAGAGAGAACTAGAATTATTATGGAAAATTGAATTTTTGGAGAGAAAGAAAACTATTTTTGGGAAAATGATATATTTGGTAAAGATTTTTTCCGTTAATGTGTAATTTTTCATAAAATTTTAATAACGTTTTATCACGTTCTTTTTGTAATGTTTTTATGTTATTTAATAATACATGTTCATTGCTAAACAACAAACATGCTCTTTTTTTAAAATGTGCACGTTCTTTTTCGAACATCTAAATTTTCTTTCTGCCTTTTTTTATTTAACCGGGTGCGCAGATCATGCATTACACGGTCTGCTACATATTAGAAAGATCCAAAAAAAATAAAAAATTATTTTTTGTGTATTTCCACAACCATCATATCAACACCTTTCACATATCAGCCAGTTTAACTACACAAGCCACCGCTTAAAGGTAGTAATAAGTAGGGCTGTACAGAGTGCGGTTTAGACCGCACCAAACCGCAAACCAAACCGCAATTTTGCGGTTTGGTGCTGTTTGCGGTTTGAAAATTGCGGTGCGGTTTTTAAAAATGACCAAACCGCGGTTTGCGGTTTGGTGCGGTTTCAAAAAATATTGAGACCAAACCGCACCGCAAACCGTACTTTAATGCGGTTTGCGATTTTTATACTATGTTTTCATTAAAATTATATAAAAGAACTAAATTATATGAGCTAATGTTTAACTATTAGTTAATTGCAGATTAATTAAAAGAGTTCAATATTTGAATTATAAACTAATAATTATAAAATGAAATAAAAATTTTGTTTTTAAAAGAATAATTACAATTTTAATAAAATACGGTTAAACCGTAAACCGTACCGCACCAAACCGTATTTTGCGGTGCGGTTTGGTGCGGTTTTATTAAAAGTGCGGTTTGAAAAAATTACAAACCGCACTTTTGCGATTTGGTGCGGTTTATGATCCAAACCGCACCGCGAACACCCCTAGTGATAAGAGGTAAAGAAATCCCCTGCTCCCACCATAAGCAATTGTTCCATCTCAATTTACTTGCTTCCTAACCCTTACTGCGTATTATTACCCTTATTTAATCCATCTACAAAAAGTCAAGATATGGTTAAAAAAAAAAAAATCCATTTTGTCCTAAGACGATTCCTTCCTTAGTCTGCTACTCAATCGTTCGTGTCGAGGCTTCCTTGCTTCTCCTCTCTTCTCTTCTCTTCTTCTTCTTTTACCATTTTCTCTCTCCTCCTCCTCTTTCTCTCTCCTCTTTGCCGTCGTCGTATTATAGCAGAAAAACAGAGCACAAAACAAACCCCGATACCAAACAAACTCACCTCTAACACAAAAAGAATTTCTTCACTTTCTCTCTCTTCAATTTTTCTCTTTCTTCAATTTTTCTCAGATTTCCGAAACTTCGAATATCTGATCTTCTTCCACCGCTTCACTTCCCCCAATTTCCCTCTTTTTCTCTCTCCTCCAGGTTTGCTTCTTCTTCCCACTTTTTTTTATTCTTTTTTTCATTTTTGTTTTTATCTTATTACCATTTTTCTTACTTTTTTTGATGGTTTTTTTTGGGGGTTAATTTTCGAGTTATACTTCTAAAAAATGGAAATTATTCTTCTACTTTTGTTTTTCAATTCTGGGTATTTTTTTAATTTTTATTTTATTGTGTTTTAAGCTATCCCCAAGTTTGATTAGGGGTGTTTTTGATTTTATATACGTTTTCTTGTAATTTGTTCTGATTCTTGATTTTTTTGTTTGCAGGGATGCCATATGAGTTGAGTTTGATAGTGAATTCAGTTTTTCGAGTTGAAAAACAATATAAAAATGTTGGATTTTATAGCATAAGATTTAGGGTTTTTGGATTAGTTTAATTGAAGTGATTTCGTTGTTTGTTGGTGAGAAATTAAAAGGAATAAACTGTGATTTTGTTTCCAATTTAGTTTTGGGTTGATGGGGAATAAGCTGGGGAAGAGGCGACAGGTGGTGGATGAGAAGTATACAAGGCCTCAAGGGTTGTATCAGATCAAAGATGTTGATTATAAGAAGCTTAGGAAGCTTATACTCGAATCGAAGCTTGCCCCGTGCTATCCCGGAGGCGACGAGTGCGATTGCGGCATGTTCGAAGAATGCCCCATCTGTTTTTTGGTTTGTATTGTTTCTACTTTGGTCATTTGAATGAATATGTTCTCTGTGTGTGTTTTTTGGGTTTCATATGGTTGTTGCAAGGCTGGAATTCCGGGAGGACGGGGAGGGACAGGATGATATGCTTAATCATATTATATTTTATGTATTTCTTTAAGGTATTTGTTGGTTTCCACACTTGATTTGTTGTGAGCTTGGTTTACTGGGACTCGGGTACCCATGTTCCAAGGGTCCGACTTGGCTATTTTGTGAAAATTGTCCATGGTTTTGAACTAACATGAAGTGTTGAAGTGTCCTAAACACGTCCGAGTGTCAAGGTGGTGAGGTTTCAAATATTCTATTTTTGGAGGTCACGAATTCAGCATCAATTTTGGTAGTGTTATTAGAACAGGAGGAATTGCTTGTTGTCTAGAATGCAATGCTGTTAGGCTATCATAAAAGGAATAGTGTTGATGTAGACTGTCTACGGTCCTTTATCTCTATGTTCTCATGTATTGATTTGTTTTTGAAATAAAAGAAATTTGTTCAATTTTATTTGTGGAAATTTTACCCTTGCTTTTACCCCATTTCTTAAGGATTTTAGACTGATTATAGCTTAAAACATTTATGACATTTCTAAGTAAACTGTTTTTTCCTTGCAGTATTATCCTACTCTCAACCGGTCCAGATGTTGTATGAAAAGCATATGTACAGGTACCTGTAAATACAGTCTTTGTATATTTTCATATCAATAAATGGAAGTTGGTGGTTAGGATATCAAATGTATTTGGCTTATCTGTCTCATTTGTTGGCAGAGTGTTTTCTACAGATGAAGAATCCAAATTCAACTAGACCAACTCAGTATCCTTCTTTATGATTTCCCTATTCTATTATGTTTGTAATGTTAAATTCTTTACATAGGATTGGATTTTCTTATTGGTTTCTTCAGGCTGAGACACTTGACTTTCCTTAACTTGTATATAGATGTCCGTTCTGTAAAACTTCAAATTATGCTGTGGAGTACAGGGGAGGAAAGTCAAAGGAGGAGAGGGGAATGGAGCAAATTGTAAGACATGCTTGTCGTACTCTTTTCTCATTTTACAGGGATGGGTGCTTATAGTAGTTGCCAATTGCTAGTTGGTTTTGTAGACAGGCACTTATGTTTATGTTGGACACTTTAACAGGAAGAACAGAAGGTTATTGAAGCCAAGATTCGGATGCGGCAGCAGCAGATCGAAGAGGAAGAGGAAAGACAACATGGAAAAGAAGAAACAAGCCCTTCAGATAGAGAGCCTCAGACAGAAAATATTGGTTGTATCACATCTGGTGGTGTAGAATGTGAAGAAACAGCCCCTTCTCAAGATTCAAGTGGTACACAAATTCTCAGACAACCCCAGTATACCAGACATGGCAGGTGCGTCATTGATTGGCATCTTAAATTTGGGGCACTGTGTTTTAGCTAGTTATATGCTTACCTGTGATAATTTTCCTGATGTTCTGAAGTCCAAAATGGTATTATGTGTTTTTTTAATTATATCTCCAGTAAAGGCTGTTCATATGTAGATATTAATTTGGCTACAATAAAAAATCTTGCTGCCTTCTTTTTTGGCTTTCTTCACTATTGCCAATACTTAATTATAATTTTTATGTGATGCAGTTTGGAATGTAATAAGGAATACTTAGGAAAGTCTATCTAACATCTCTAAGCCTTTCTTATCCAAAGAGGACAAAGAAAAAGCTTTTTAGTAGTTTCCTAGGTGAAGATTTCCTGGTTTAATCTAAATGCCTGTTGGTTATATTCATTTATATAGTATAAATTCAGCTGAGTCGAATGCTGTTGCTATTGGTTGGAATATGCGGTAAGATTTAATGTATTAGAAAGTGGCTGACCATTGAATCTCTCATCTGTTAGGAATCTTTTGCATCTGTCACATGCCGTATGACTAATAAGTTTGATTAGAAATATGTATAGCTGCAATACAAGCTAAAACAAGGTAGTTGAGCACAAATACTGTCAGAATGGAAGGGGGAAATTATTGCGAAAATGCTCCTAACTCAATTAAACGTATAATTTAAAATGGAAGAAGAGTGGATAATCCAATCCCATCGAGATGCTTCCCTGTCTTTTGTTATTTTGTTTTGAATAAGTTTTTTTAATGGTGCCAATTCTGTCAAAGGATGTTAAATATTTACAAAATTATACATATGTATTTTCTAATATGTTTATAATCCATATAGGATGCTCCTATATGATTTTCTTGTTACGATTTGATGACAGTATCGGAATGGCAGTCACCTGTTATTTTTGTAGCTTTATCATTGCTACTGTTATCAGAGAAACTGATACGGTGTCACGGGAAAAGATAAGAATTCATCTGCTACTATTTTTTGAGCGATTTGAAGACTAGGCGATATTAAGGAGGGTTGTTCAGGGATAGTATACCAAAATTCCACGGAAGCATAAATTGCATGAGATGTTATGCCTTTGCGTATGAAGAGTGGATTGATCCTGCATAAGCATTTGCAATTTATGCTGAAGGAAGGAATAAAACCTCTGTTTGGCAAGTTACCTTGACCAATATTATCCCATTTGCCAAGATATTGCTGATAATGGTGATGAAGAAGTCATCGTCCTTAAGTATTCATACATACAACAAGTGGGAGCAAAATAAGTTGGGACAAGTGTAATTCATAAAGTGAACTGAGCTTCTTCATGAGAAACTGTCCAAATTTCAGTTTCAAATTTTCTCCAATTATTTACTTCACTAATTTGAGAATAAATGAAATGTATGACAGGATTGATTTCCATTTCAGAGTTCCTTTGGTACTTACTTTCTTATCATGAGAACCTGTCCTTATATTTCTAATTGCGAACTTTTCCTTCTGACTTATCTCTGTTGACATACACTTATAATTTTCTCAATGCGTGCCATTTAAGAGTGGATAAATAATTGGTAATAATATTTGACTTGGATTGTAGGTCTTTATTCCTTGCTGAAATAAAAGGTATATCATGTATCTGGATATAAAATTACTGTTTTTGTAGTAATAGGTAAAATGAAATATAATTTATTAGCATAATACCTCCAAAAATTGAAGGATCTCATATGTATGATTGTACAAAGGTGTGCACGTGAACACTGTTGGTTTTGGACTCATTCATAGCTAGTACTCTGTCATTTTCCTATCAAGAAAAACTTGAAGTAGAGAAAAGTAGAATATGCTTGCATTGGACTTTGATAGTCGATCAGGATGTGTAGTTCAGTTTTAAGATTGTTCAAGTTTTCTGGCATGATATCTTTTAGCTTTCATAGGGAACTATCTTTCTCTTGTTAAATGTGTGATGTTGACCTTACAATGGGTTCCATGAAAAGTTTTTAATATCTGCGCAATCACTTGTCAAACTTTGTCGAATTATGAATTTCTAATTCTATTTTCAGTTCTTATTTAGAGCTGGTGATTCATTTCCTTTTGTTTTCTTTTGAAGTTATTATGACAGCTTGCCTATGAAAATTCATGAACTTTCCATGACTTGATTATAGGATAATATGACAATGTATGGAATTTGTCTTGATTCATGGACTTCTATAGTAGACTTTGGTACTGACTACTGAATTGGCATACAGACCTCAATAGTAGGCATGAAAAGCCTTATGACTGTTTAACTTGCTGCGACCAATAGCCTTTGGATCATATTTAAGGAGAGAGAGAAAGTGTAGTTGGTGCACATGGTTTACTTTATCACCGAGAACACTGAATTGTTGTCCTCACATCCACTTTATAAGGGCAACATTAGTGAATCTGACTGCCAAAAGCTTACCAAGTATAGTATGGTTAAAGTAATATGAAATTTCTATTTTAGGATCTTAGTTTAGTAAAAAAAATGGAACAAGTATGTAATTGTTTGAATTTCCTAAGTAGATTTTTAATTATAGATATGGTCCATGAAGAAAGTAGATTAGTATTTGGGCCATCTTCTATTTCTAGTATGTGTGTAATCAATATGTCTCTACTCTCTAGTCATCTAGTGACTATGTTTTTGTTATTGGATCCTCAAAGCTCTTTTTTTGTGGGAATTTTTTTGGTTAAGGAAAGGAGGGTGTTAAAATTTCATATGCATATGTTGTTTGATCTTCATTGTGATTATTGGATAAGACTGAAGCCACCACATGCCTCTGTAGATATGTTACCCAAACACAGTGTATTTGTCAGTGTGCCTACGTAAATATGGCCTAGTACGAATTCAGTTATGTCGTTGTTTTGTGTGTGTGTGTGTGTGTGTGTGTGTGTGGGTGGGTGGGTGGGTGGGTGGGGGGGGGGGGTAAAGCTGATATGTTGTTTTATTGATCATTATCATTATTGGATAAAACTAAAGCCTCCACATGCCTCTGTAGATATGTTACCCAAATATGGTGTATTTGTCAGTGTACCAATGTAAATGACCAGCATGAATTCAGTTATGTCATAAGGGTTGGGTACAATAATTTGCACTCATATACTACTACTGTGCATACTAACCAGAGATCAGTGATAAGGGGAGGGAGATCTGGGTGAAAATTGGTTTTCAAGATTTTCGTAGAATTGTTAAAATTGAAATTTTGTTAGATCTAGGATTTGAAAGAAAACACACGATTGGACAATTTATGATGAAGGTTCACCATAGATGTAAGAAGACTCTTGTGCTTTGTTTTTAGGGAGAGGGTGGAGAGGCCAGTCCATATTGATGGCCAGAGTTCTGGATCTGTTCACCTACTCCAGCAGGGGTCATCCATTTGTTTTCCTCAATGCTTTTCGATGCTTGGTGTGTTGGCTGGACTGATTTTCTCTCCTTCACAGTTTTTGTTGTGCTCCTGAGCTTGCCAGGATCTGAAGTTATGATTTCAGATTAGTGACTTGGTTATTCAGGTGGTAGGTAATTAGGCATATGTATGTATGGAATCATACATATACCTAAACCTCATTACCTGCATGGAATTTGATAGGCCGTTAATACATGAAATTTTGTTGTATGTCAGTAAAAAAAAAAATGGTCAAAGCTGATCTTGTGTTCCCTTAGGCTCACTCACTTGGCCCCCGCCCCTCCCCCCCCCCCCCCCAAGGGGCCCCAACAAAATTTTTTTTGGATATGGTGCTACTCTGACATGATTATCATCTGACAATTGTGATTTACAATTTGGGCTCCAGCCATACCCATTTAGTAGGATTTCCTTTGCCATGTATCCATTAACCTCGTTGTTTATTTTCTGTACTGCTTTCTGGTTTGTTGTGGGGGCCTTTATAGCACTTTATACCAGAAAATACTTCTTTAAATAATAGTTAGTTAGCTACCGCTTGAAATCTGTTGAAAACCACGAGTTAACTCTCATTCAGGTCCTTTTCTTCTTGGTGGTGTGGTCAACAATTGCCATAGTGCCATATTTAGGGTACTTATCTCAAGTTTAGAACATTTATTACTTTGCTTATTTGCAAATAGGTGTTTAGTTTGTGTTCTTGAATCTTACATAGTAATATGGTTTAGTATTGGGATGTTTCTCCAGTTTGCTTCTGCTTAAAAATTGATTCAGTATCAACATCCAACTCTTCCAACCTTATAAATCTTACTAATATGCTGTTTTTGATGCAGGGATGATGAATTTGACCTGGATCTTGAAGATATTATGGTTATGGAAGCTATCTGGCTTTCTATACAGGTAATAATTGAACCTTTAAGTATTAAGAAATTGATGCAATTAATCTAATATTTTCATCTTCTTACATACATTAAAGAAATGGATGCAATTAATCTAATATTTTCATCTTCTTATATACATTAAAGAAATGGATGCAGTAATCTAGTATATTCGTCTTCTTATATACATTAAGCCCACCTATCAAATTTTACAGGAATAAATCCATCTTTTAAGATTCATATTGAAAGCGCACAAAGATTTCAAGATGAAAAATCTGATTCCTTGTGTGAATCTTCTTAAAAACAATCAGATTGCTTAATTTTCTCAAAGGTAAACTGTAAAACAGTGGCATTATTTTAATAAAGTCAGTAGCTCTTTGTCGAGGGGTTCTCCCTTGGTGGACTCTAGGTAAACTTTTAGTTGGAACTTTTATACATAGGATTATTTTTGCTCATTTTGATATGTGACTAATTTTTTTTTAATTCATATGAATATATGATTGAAAATGGTTATTTCAGATGCTGAATTAGTAATTTTGCCTCATAAAGGGTTGTTGATGCACTTAGTTAGCTCTATCCTCTGTGAATTTGTAGAAATGACTATATTTACTTGTCTTGGGAGAAGACTCAAGAGTATTATTGAAATTTAGATGAATATATCAGTATAAATCCTTGGACTTATATTCAACAAAATTATGCTTGATTAGCATCTCTCTCTCTCTCTGTCTCTCTGTCTCTCTCTCTCTCTCTCTCTCTCTCTCTCTCTCTCTCTCTCTCTCTCTCTCTCTCTCTCTCTCTCTCTCTCTCTCTCTCTGTGTGTGTGTGCATGGCTCTCATTCGTCTGGTTGACATCTCCTTGGTGTTTCGAGGGTTTTTATTTATTTATTTTATTTTAATTTTGCATTCTCTTTGCTCCTTTTTATTTTTTTATGCTTTGATTTTTATGGTCTCCAATTCACACCTTCAACCGCAACATTCAATTAACTGTGAATCAAAAACCTAACAATTAATATTTTGACAATTTATTTCAAGCTGAATCTAAAAAAGATCCACATGATAAGGTTTGAATGTTTGTAATTTTAATTTTTAATAGTCAAAGATTTTAAAAGTTGACCATAAAAGTCAAAACGTAAATAATAAAAAGGAATCGCAGGAGTAATATATAAGACTTTAGAGCATATGATACACACAGACACAACACACAAGTGAAAATTGAAACATTGCCTTTTGTCTCAACTGAAATGCCTTGATCAGTCCTTAACTGCACTTTAGTGATACCTGGCTGCTCACATGAGGCCTTGAGAAAAGGGCTTAGATTTGTGCTTTCTTATCCTTTAACAATAATGGGCTACTCTTCTTGGATTGTTTTTGAAAAAGATAGAAAAGGGTGCTAAGAGATACAGGTCTTTGTTCAGTGAGACTCATTCTTTTTCAATGTGAAAGCTTATAATCTTTGTAGTAATTAACGCTGATCCCTAAAACAGTACTCAATTGATTCGAAGAACTTTGTTTGTTTATTTTCACACCTGCTGATCTCTATCTTCTGTACTGTTTGCCTTTTCCTCATGTCTAGGAGAATGGAAGAGCAGAATATTCTCCTTCTAATGATGCTGTGCCTGAGCAATATACAGTTGAAGATCGCCACATGTCACCAGTGACAGCACCAGTGGCTGGATCATCGTCATCCCCTTCAGGTGGTCTTGCTTGTGCAATTGCAGCCCTTGCCGAGCGCCAGCAATCCACTGGAGAATCTTCCACCAATTATAGTGAACCTGTATCACGGTTAGACATGATTCCGAGCAGTAGCAGGAGTTCGAAGAGGATGAAAAAGACTCAGAGAAGACATGCAGAAAGCTCTTCTAATAAGGAAATTTGTAATTCAAGAATGATAGCTGAAGGGTGTGAGGTTGGTCCTGCATTAGAGGTTACTGAAGTGGGGACTAGCTATGTCAACTCAGATGACTCTGAAGATGAGGCTATTATACTGCCACCACCACCACCTCCGCCACTAATGCATCATAGGTGGAACTCCAAGAGGGGAAAAAGTATCCAAAGAAAATACTCTTTCGGGAGAGCCTCGTCCAAGAATTTGCATGATCGAAGGATGGTAGCAGAAGAGTGGGAGTTTGACCGTGGCTCAGAGGTTGCTGAGGCAGGGACCACTTATGCTAGCTCGGATGAGTCGAATGAGGACACTCAAGTCGCTTCACAGCCACTACCATCACCACCTCTACCTCCATATGTAGTCGGAACGATCAGTGGCTGTTCAGATGGGGAAGAAGATCATGTTGAATACCTACTCCCTCCACCTCCACCTCCACCACCACCATATGTTACAGATAGTGGCTTCCAGTCTTCGATCCCAGCCCCCATAGTTCCAGAGAGTTTCGAGGAACAGATGATGTTGGCCATGGCAGTTTCATTAGCTGAGGCTCGAGCTAGGACAAGTGCTCAGGGAGTTGCATGGCACTAGGTTTAGTAATCACGATTGTATCCTGTTATCTCTCCACTCCCCATCTCTGCCCCGGCTCTCCCGCCTCCATCAACAAAAATGCAAAAAAAAAAAAAAAAAAGCTCATTTTCCTCCCCCTTTTAATCTTCACACGTATGTATTAGGTTACTGAAGAGCAGATTTCAACGAGTGATAGGTTTGTCGGGTTTTATGGTATTTGAAATGATTAATGTGCCTCATGATTCCCCCCCTTTTCCTTTTCTTTTCTTTTCTTTGCAGTTATTAAATGATGTTGTAAGTCGTTTTCGAGGTGTATGATTGATTGTTAAGGCAATCTGGTCTTGCAATGTAGACCTGGCTAAGATTTCTGTGTCTCAAGCAAGCTTCTGATGGTTATAGGCTCTTGGAATGATCCCAAGCAATTTTAGTGCTAGACTTAATTTGAAGAGTCAGTAACTATGAGATATCCTCTGTTTTTTCTTTTGCAAATGTTACTCAAGTCACGTGTGGTGGTGTTAACAACTTAACATGAATCAACTCTTGTGAATTTTTACGAATACGGCTCCAACCAGGTGCAAGTTAATGGAGATTGTCATGAAGGCCTTGTTTGGTTTGTTGTAATACATTTTCAAAGGAAAAATATATTTTCAAGGAAAAAATACAATTGCAAAGTAGATTTTCTTTGTTTAGTTGCATAAAAGAAAAATTAAAGAAAAAAAAAGGAGTGAAAATGTGCAGGTGAACGAAAGGAAAGTTAAAAAAAGTGAGGAGAAAAATGTGGCTTCTCTGATTTTCTAAGGAAAATGTGTTTCTTCAAGGTTGCAAATTTCCACCATTGGGAAAATTGTTTTGCACACTTCACAATCCAAATCAAAGAAAAATGAAAATAAAAATTTTACTACGTAAACATTTTATATCAAGCCAAACAGGGCCAAAGTGAAAAAAAATTGTTATGTGATAAGGTGCAAGTACAAATAACAATGGTTGTTCAAAGAAATGAGAACTTCTTCAAAGCAATGGATTAGTGATGTGGTGTATATATTGAGACGAATATATAAGTCTTTGTTTTTAAATAAGTGTATTTATTGATACGGTGATACGTATGCCAATGCACAATTTTCACCAATCTTTGTATAATTTTATAGTTACAAAAAAATTCACACTACAATTTTTTAAATTGCAACATTTGCCTTTTTAAAAAGTTGCATATTAATTGCTATGCTTTATTAACTTATCATTTGTGTTTGTTCGCCAAATACCCTAACAATCCTTGTAAATACTTTGTAATTGATGACTATCCTGTCAAAAAAATAAAAAAAAATTGATGACTACAAATTGTCTCCCTGTGGGGAAAATAGGTCTAATATAAATGCCCAATAATTAGCACTGTCAAAAACCGAACCGAACCGGTGAAACCAAACCGATTCAAACCGATCCGAATGAGAACCGAACCGATTAAAAACCGATTTTTTGAAACCGAAAACCGACCCGAACCGCATTTTAGTAAACCCGAAACCGAACCGATCCGAGTAATGTTAAACCGTTTTAGAACCGAACCAAATCTAAACCGAACTGGAAAGGAAACCGAACCGAAAATAAACCGAACCGTTTCTAACCCGAAACCGTTTAAACTGGCATAAAAACCGTTATAAACCGAACCGTTATAAACCGAACCGTTTACAAACCGAACCGTTTACAAACCGAACCGTTTATAAACCGCTCCGTTTATAAACCGAACCATTTATAAACCGAACTGTTTATGAACCGAATCCTTATAAATCGAACCGTTTACAAACTACTTACTACTAGGAGTGGTTATTGGGTGGGTCAGTGTGGGTCGATGCAGATCATTTATGAAGTGAGTCGGTTGCAGGTCAAGATGAATATTTAGCGGGACATAAATAATAACCAATAACTCGAGATAAAAAAAGGAACAACATATCAATATGTAATGTGACTAAAACTATTAATACTTGTTCTATGAGATTAAAACATTCTAGCAATGAAGCAACACAATATATATTAAGCATCACTAGTTCAATACAATACAACATCCATGTCTTCTTAATTAGATGCAAAACTTTCATCTATCACTTCTTTACCAATTTCAAGGACGTCTTCTTCAATATCACAATCATAACCACGTAACCAATTTTGTGTGGTCACCAACGCCTCAACATTCTTAGGCAAAAGCGCACTCCTATACTTGTTTAAAATACGACCACCCATGCTAAAAGAAGACTCTGAGGCTACCGATGTAATAGGAATGGCCAAAACATCCCTAGCCATAACAGCTAATATGGGGTACACACTACTTTGAGATTCCCAATACTTAAGAACATCGTACTTCTGCCCTTCATAAATTGGTTGTCGAGGAATACACAAATAAGAATCAATCTCCATCGATGGCCGATTTGATGTGTCATCCTCCTCATCATCATCATTATCAACATACTAGAAAAGTTCAAATAAAATGCTTTTATTAAATAATAAAATTAAAACATAAAATTATTAATTTTGTAAACCACAATAATCAGAAATTGATTACCTTGAATATATCATCATCCAAGTGACTATTTGAATTTTCGATAACAGCTGGGATGGAGGGTGGAGCATTTGTACTTGATGTAAAACCGGAAGACAAAGAAGAATAAAAGTTATACAACTCCAAAAGAGCATCTTTAATCACCTTCGCCTTTTCAACACATGCCTCATCAACATAAAGCACTTTTAACATCTTCATCACTCAAACAAGCTTATAACGAGGATCAAGAACAATAGCAATTGATAGGATCAAACTATATTCATCCCAATAGCCCTCAAACTTTTCAAGCATAACTTTTGCCATGGGTGCAAGTTTAGGATCTATATGGGCTTTACTTATTGTGTGCTCAATTTTTAAAACACTAGCAAAATACAAATTTGCAGTAGGATATTCTGAACCAGAAAATAACACAGTGATTTCATGAAATGGCTTTAGGAAATTACATATTTTAGTAAGGGTATCCCATTCATCATTCGAAAGTTTGAATTCATAACCTATAAACCTATCAATAACCAATTTCAAGGCTTCCTTTGCTTCCAAAGCTTTTCGAATCATCGTATATGTGGCATTCCAACGAGTCACAACATCAAGACGTAACTTTCCATTAAACACACAGTTAACCTCATGAAGAGCATGCTCAAATTGAGTGAGTCTAGAATCTGAAGAATCAATATATTTACAAACCTCACGCAATTTTTGAACACTACTATCAACTTCTTTTAAACCTCTTTGAACAATAATGTTCAAGACATGAGCTGAACATCGAATATGAAAAAAATTACCATTACAAGGAAGAGGAGAAGTCAACATTAAATCTTTCTTCAAAAGGTTAACCATAACATCCATGGATCGAGCATTATCAACAGTCATTGCAAAAGCTTTACCCTGAAGGTTCCACTCCCCAATAAGTTTTAACACAAATTTTTCTACCTCAACACCAGTATGAGGAGGACCACAATATCTAAAATTCAGAATTTTAGACCTAAGACACAATATCTACAATATCTCATCCCTTTATACTAATAATATCTAACTATGAGAATATGAGATGGTTATATGTTATGTATCTGTATAATCGATTGAAGGAATCAACATTACCTTCTTCTTCATTAATGTTTTCTTTCATTATACAAATCAAACTACTCTGTAATATCTTCATGTATAACTTTATGCAAATATATAATGATAAACGAGTCTTAATTATCAGTCTTGTTGACTAATTAAGTATCGAATACCAAATTGCAAATTTCGATGTCACAACAACTCATCAAATCATGATTATGACACTATTAACTAAATGATCAAATCAGAAGCAGATAATAATCTGATAGTAAAACAATAATACATTAATGCACTAAACTTTTATAATCTACTTCATAATAAACTAGTAAGATCAGTATAGCTAAACTTAAATCATAACATGATATGTATTTATAAAATTAATGAGAATTTGCATATAATATGATGCCTCAATATGAAGTGATGAAGTCTCGGCTTGATATAAAACTTGTTAACTAGCAAAAAGTTAGAAAGTAGTACAAAATTTTTTGAAATCAAAAACAGACTCGAACCGTAATTTAGTAAATCTGAAATAAAACCGATCTAAATAATGTTAAATCGTAGAAGAACCAAACCCGTGAACGAACCGAACCAGTTATAACCGAAATAAAATAAAACTAAACCAAAAAAAAACCGAACCGTTTCCAACCTGAAACTGTTTGAACCGGGATAATAACCATTTATACCGAACCGTTAACAAACCGCAATCCGTCTGCACCGAACCGTTTACTACCTGGAATTTTTACAACCCGCACCGTTTACAAACCGAACCGAATTTAAACCGGGTTAAAAACCATTTACACCGAACCGTTAACAAACCGCAACCCGTCTGCACCGAACCGTTTACAACCCGAACCAAATTTAAACCGGGTTAAAAACCGTTTACACCGAACCGTTAACAAACCGAAACCCGTTTGCACCGAACCGTTTACTACCCGGACCGTTTACAACCCGGACCGTTTACAACCCGAACCGAATTTAAACCGGGTTAAAAACCGTTTACACCGAACCGTTAACAAACCGCAACCCGTTTGCACCGAATCGTTTACTAACCGAACCGTTTATAACCCGAACCGAATTTAAACCGTTCAAGAATAAACCGAAACCGAACCGAACCGATAATTATTTAAACCGAACCGAAACCGACCCGTAAGACATTTGAACCGATTTCAAACCGACCCGATTTCAAACCGAACCGATTTCAAACCGAACCGAAACCGAACTGTCAAACCGTTTTGACAGTGCTACCAATAATTGATTACACTATGCTCAAATATATACAAAACTTGTGAACTCATATGCTTTGCTCATATATATATATATATATATATATATATATATATATATATATTTTGAATAGCAAAAAAAAAATTATTAATTAAAAGTCATACGACATCTACAATAGAGATTCGACGTTAACAAATACATAAGATATATACTGAATTAAATAAAGTTTTCCTTCATAAAAACTACGATCGATCGTCGAGTAGATCTTTTACTGTGGAACATCTCCCGTTTATATTGCTGAAAAATATAGCCTTGTTGAAGAGACAATCTAACGATCTTTTGTAGCCGTGAGGATTTTTTCTTTTGATTCATCTGTGTGTATTCGAAAACATGATAACTTTTTCATCAACGAAATAATTTCACGACAATTCATTAGATCTAATATTTTGGATTCAAAATTAAGAAAATTCTCCCCCGAAAAGAGGAGATAAACCTTGTCTTTTGAAAGAGCCCGGAAAACCCTTGTCTTTCGAAGGAGATCGAAAACCCTTTCTTTCGAGGGAGAAAAGTTCTTCCCAAAAGAGGAAGCATTATTATAAAACCTAAAAA